TAGCTGTTTACAATTGTAATTCTAATTAACTTTATCAGTTTCACTACTATATATGCTAAATCCTTGTTTTAAATAGTTCATGATAAGAAGAATTAAGAGATAAACATACTGTGAGATGAAATCAGATACATTGTTTTCCTTTATCACTTTGCAAAGCTCTTGTATGGATTGTGTTAGCAGTGATGTTTTTTCCATCCATTCCTTATGATGGGATTCTTGAACAACAATAGACCTCCTGCTGTGGTTTATCCACTCTTTGTTAAATTCTATAAACCACTCTGGTGGTTGTCGATCGCCTCGTCTAAAACGTTTCTTAGTTGGCCCATTTAACTGTGATGCTGGAATGTCTGACTGAAAGGAAGTTGGTTGTGATGTTGAGTTTGGAAAACTAGTGGGTGAAAGACATGAAGGAAGGCAAAGTGAAGCTTGGAGGTAAGCTGGTGGTGTTGATACTTCATTTAGAAGTTCATCTAACACCTGTTATGGAAAACAAAAATATTCTTCTAATTAAACGTTAATGTTTTCCTACACTGAAAATGTATTGCTGATAGATACTTACCTCTGTGCACATAACAGCCTTCTATATGCACAAGTTTTCACTTTCCACTAGCCTTGTTCTCCAACCTACCTCCACATGTTTGCTAATGGCACAGCTGCATTATAGCATGAGACAACCGTTCAGGCATAGGAGTGCAACACACCCTCTTAATGCAGCTGATTCCCTCTATACTGTAGAATCCAAGCATCATTTCGAGATTAGGCAAAAAGTAAGCCCCAGTAAGTCAAGTGGGAAGTGTAAGAAGAGAGAAGTACCTATCGGAAATACATTTTCAGTGGAGGAAAATGTTAACTTCCAATACGATGCCTAACCTCCTCTTGCATAATGGCTAGAATTCCATGTTGAAATAGTGGAGGGACTGGTGCAAATTTAACTAAATGAGCACCCTTTGGAAAATGTCTGAAGAGAGGCCATGGAATGTGAAACTTCATGCCCATGGTGAAAAAAGTGTTTCAAAAAAGGACAGACAGAAGCACATCCAAGAAAGTGGACTTGCAAATAATGTAGAGTGGCTAGAGTCAGACTGCAATTGATGGGTCAACTCCAGCCCAAAACCTGATGGCACTAGGAATAAAACATTTTGGCCATGGCCTTCACCTCAGGCCCTGGAATCAGAAGGGAAATAGGACTTCTGTTATAAAACTCCAAGAAAGCACATACGTGCAGACCTAGTACACAACCTACACCAACTACAAGAGAACCCCAAATCTGGCCAATGGTAGGAAAGTGGAAAGCAGCATGGAGGGTCAGCTTCAGTTAAAAACCAGGCAGCATGTATCATCCAGTCCATGGTAGGAGGAGGGTCCCAGCCCAATTACGTGTGATGATTTTGTTGGCCGGTCCAGCTACAACCAATACCAGCACACCCAAGAATCAACATCCAGAATGCAGTAGGAATGAGGGTTCTCAGATGGTGGGGTGAACTGCATGTGGTAGATTCATTCAATCCATAACCAAAAGGCATCTGGAATTGTACATGGTAAGAGTAGAGTACACACCTACACTGGCAGAATACCACTGCCCTACTCTAAACTGAATGGGATTGAGCACACTCAGGAGGAAGCCTCTATAGTCCACCACACCAGTGGCTTGGAGCTGGTAAGTAATAGGAACTCCTGTACTCCACTAAAAGAAGAGGGGGGAATAGTGTGGTGGGGAGTCTGGAGGAAAGCATCATCATAAAAAGTGCAATAGGTGACCGTGGAACCCCATTTTGAAAAGCAAGCTGACTCTGAAGTATTCAACCAAGAATGGGGGATGGGCAGCAATCCCTTCCCTGCTTTATTCATGATAGTCCATGAGTTTGTATGGTCTGAACCAGGCATATTTGGGATGCATTATATTGTGAGGATGAACCTACTAGCAGTCTCACAGAACATCTCATCTTAATGGTGGGAACTATAGACCTTAAACATCATATGATGCAGATTTGATAGCTGGTCCAGCTCACATCTAGAACCAGACTCCCTGGGAACAGGCATCCAGGAGGTAGGATGGGGGTTCACCAACCAAATAGCATACCTAGACAGGCACCACTCACCATAGAGCAGGATCCAACATGAAGCATATGTAAATTAAAAGGAAATGAAAGAAAAAACTTACCCACTCAGAGTCAAACTGAGGAGTGCAAGATGGCAACAAGAGCCAGATGGTATCTGATTGAGGAGAAGATGGCCAAATGATGAAGATAATGGGTGATAAAAGTGTGTAGTGTGGTTCACATTCCAGCCTGGATTATCTCCTCCAACAAACAACAGAAATGACATGGTTAGGTAGCAGGTCTGGTTAGAGGAGACCTGGAAAAGATGACTGGAATTGGATGACAAGGAAGAATAAGCCAAATGAATAAATTAGTGAACCAAACCTGTAAGTGTAATCAGGGTAAGGTCACAGGAAGAAGGATGCCAGTGGAGAAAAAATCAGGAATGGGAAACATGGAAGGAAGCCATGCATGCCGCAACACCCGAGAGCCTAGAGAACAAAAGAGATGATCCAAATCAGAACAGGAATAGAAATGGGAAATAGAAGGTACGGAAATTGGTGTGAAAGCAAAACTACCCTCATGATTCACTGAAGTCTTGGGGAGGAAGAAGTGATCAAGATAACAGAGAACACAAGTACTATGGTATAGGATATGAAGTATGTTGAGAGCTAACACATCTGACTAAGACAACCACCATAGGTCAAAAGGAGCTGGAAATAGGTTTTAAAGGAAAGGTGATATAGGTGACAAGGGTTTGAAAGGAAGTAAAGTAAATGCATGCAAAATAACGTTAAGATTGCAATCTGGTAAGAGAGTGAAGCAAGGAGGACTGAGGAGACTAAAGGATCAAAAGATGAGGGAGAAAATGGGAGAGGAAAACACATGGCAGAAGTGATAATAAGGAAAGGTAGAGGACAAGAGTGCAGTTGATTTGTCAGAATGGATCATGACAGACTTGCCCTACAAAACTGGAAGGAAATTATCCAAAGCCCGATGAACTGCTAGGAGGTCGAAAAGATTGATGTGGGATCCTGACTTGACCAAAGACAAATGACCCGAAACCTCTTGAGAGTTTAAATATGTCCCTAACCTGTCGGAGAAGCATTGGTGAAAGGTATAGAGCCAGTTGGGAAAGTAGAAGATGAATTCTAGCTGAGGTGTTGTCCCTCTCAAGCCACCAAGCAAAATCGACTTGAAGGGAGGAAGGAAGAAGGATAGAGGAGTCCAGGAGATCCTTGGCAAGATTCCATTCATCTTGCATATGCCACTGGAGTGCTTGCATGAGCACAACCCAGGAGAATAAGGGCTTCCATGGGAGCCCAAGTCCCCAAAAGAGAGAGAACCTCTTGAGCAAGAAGTGAAGGACAGGATCAAGCCTTCAGAACTAACAGCTCCATAGAATACAGCCAAAGGTGAGAAGGCTGGGCCCAACTGAGATGGAAGTTGAAATTTTCTGATCTGGATGAGGTATTTTGTTGGGATCAGAATGGACTTTCCCACCTTGACAAACCAACCCAAATAAGCAACTTTTTCAAAAAAACTGTGTGATTATAAAAAGGTTGTAGTGAAGGAGTTAAAAGCAACCAGTCGTCTATATAATGATGGAACCACAGACTGGAAGAGTGTAATAAAAAGACAAGCCTTGACCCTGACAGAAAACATAGGGAGCATAATTAATTGATAGATCCAGCCTTCACAGACAAACTGAAGGTAACAACAAGATGCTGAGGACATGGGGATGTGAAAGTATGCATCCAATATGTCTACCTTCATCATCCAAAAGACAGACTTACCTCGTTTCACCATGGAATCTTTCCTATGTAATAGTTCAAACTGGAAAGGTATGTGACTAAATGTCTGTCTTTGGTCTTCTTGGGGACAACAAACAACTGAGAATAAAACCCCAGAGTAGGGTGACTGACAAGTTTGATAGCATCCTTGAAAAGAAGATCTTGAACCACTATGGACAGAGGCTAGCTGGAAAAGAGATCCTGAGGAGAAAGAAATAATGGAGGAGAGGCTAGAAAATGAGGTGAGAGTTCTGACAAGACCTAAAACACCCAAGGATCTTAAGTTAAGGTGCACCAAAGATGGGTGAATCTGGATAATCTGGCCTGAATGGGACCTGTACCTACCAGATAGTCACTGGAATTGTTGGTGACATGAGGGTCGGCAGTGAGTAATATGTCAACTCGTTGCTGAAAACCATGACAAGGTACCGGCAAGGGAGAGGAAGAAGATGGAAGGGAGACAGAGACAGAAGTGGGGCAGGAGAAGGCTACTAGTGATGAGGGAGGATAGGGAAGTGTGCTGTTGAGCAGCTTCTACACAAGACTCTAATGAATCTGGGAGATCCCAAAAACAGACTGGTGCAGAAAAGTGGTCATACTTTAATATGTTGGGGATAGACACCCATGAGTTAAAGGTGCATCTATACCCAAAAGATCCCAACAACAATGGAACCAGGTATGTAGGGAAAGGGCGAAGGAAGACAAGCACACCAAAGTGGAGAAAAGGAGGGAACGAGTTTCTATCAGAAACATCTTAGGAGAACAATGGATGGCCTCAGAGAGGAGGTGCATGGAGGAGATAATGATGGAGGGTTATAAGGTTCAAATGAAGGTGGCCTGGGAAAGACAAGTAGATGTATCGGGGTCCAAACTCCAAACCTGAATTAATGATTCTATATGTTGAGAATTGAGGAATGGAGCTATAGGGGTATAAGGGGGATAAAGGCATACTGACTCCAGAACACACCCGATCCATTAAAAATTTTCAGCATGGACCCCAATATCAGGAAATGCAGGGAAAACTAAATCAGAGGAAGGGGTATCATGTAAAATGGGAGAGATCATAAGACATAGGGGATAATGACAAAATCTAACAAACCTGTGTCACCATGTCCAGAAATGCAGACGAAGACCAAGATGCATCTAAAGGTGTAGATCAAGATTGCACAGCAAAGGAAAGAGGCAGGAAAAGGCTGTCAAAATCTTCTTCATCTTGACCAGCTTTCCCCCGGAAATAGAAGAACTGGTCAAGGTTCAGGAGAACTCTCGGGCTGCATGAAAGACTCAAACTGATGGAAGACAAGAGCTGAAACCTCTTCTGAAGATAAAGTAGTCCCTGATGCCACAGTAACAGCAGGTTGTTGAGCTGTGGTATCTATCTGTAACAGTTGAAATCATGGTAATAGTAAATCAAGAATTCATTTTGAAAAAGAAAATTCATGGTTGAAAACAAAATAGGAAATTCAAGAAAAGAAAAATTTAATGAAGATGTAGGAAAACCAAGCTCAAAACCCACCAAAAATAAAGTACAAAGTGAAGTGGCAAGCTATATGTCTGAACAATACAGTGCCAAATCGAGAAGTGATGATTGAGTTCTACTGTATAGAGGGAGTCAGTTGTGCTAGGAGGCTGTGTTGCACTCCTATTGGTGGAGGGTTGTCACATGCTAATTTGCATGCTATAATGCAGCTGTGCCACGTGCATACACATGGAGGTAGTTGGGAGTGCAAGGCTACTAATGAGCAAAAATTTGCCTATAAAGGGCAGTAATCATTAAGAAAAGTTATTATGTGAGAGGTGGTAAGGTATCATATCAGCATAACATATGATTGTCAAATAGATACAAGAAAGATTAAAATATACTGTCGTCTCAAACATTTTCTGCTGCTTGTAATTTTTAAGACTGATAATTTTTAAGTCTTTTTCAAAATAGGTTTTAATTGTTTATTAGTTAATGTTTTTGTTTATACTTTGGATTGTGCAAAATAATGAAAGTTAGCATACATACTTAACACATATTTTCTGTTCAAACATCAATATTAAGTTATTCATTTCTAAGTTGTTCTATTCTATTCATAAAATCAACAAGTACAAATATAATACTGTAGATAGCACCAAATAATTAAAATGAGGGTTATATACAATTAACTCAGTCTGTGAAATTTGACACTTTTTCTCACAATTCTTTTGTGTGACATCTGTTATGCAATTCTCATACAGTATAATGGATTACAACATATCGATCCAATCTGACTTGTTAAACTTAAACAGTCCTTTCAAATGATGGTATATCATAATCCTTATCATAACATGTAATATAAGAAATTAAGTAATTTTCTCAGGTAAAACCATTGCTCCAGTGCAAAAATGTTGTTTTCCAAATTCCTATTTTCAATGTGTATTAATGCATGATATTACTAATATTTCTTTCAATGTAACCGAGCTTTTAAATTCAAAACCACATCAGAAAGAATTAACTGTCAGAGTTAAGCTCAATTAAGAATTTTCTGGTGGTGAACAAAGAGCCTCCTCGGCAGCAATTTGTGAAATAAGAGATATAACTGAAGTCCAATTTTTACACCTCTCTGATAGGAAGCCTGTAAAAGGCAAATTAAGAAGAATGTGGCAGAAAAACATCTGTATTTTAATAATGATTTTTTTAATTTAAATATCAGGCCTACCAGATTCTAATGCTTTATCAGTTCTCAGTATTCAACACCATAACATTAAAACATAATATGAGAAAGGACATATTAGCCTACCACATCTAACTATTCTTTTCCTCAGATGTTCAAAATTCAATCTAACCTTTTGTGGTTCATGATAATTTCAAAGCACTAGCAGTTATCAAGCATTTATTCTCCACCAATTGCAATCTTGTGAAAATCTAATTTTGCATGAAATTATAGTGTCTTGCATCTTGTGAAATTATAGTGTCTTGCATCTTGTGAAATTATAGTGTCTTGCATCTTATGTTGACAGAAACACTAAGCTATTTAGTTTTTTACTTGATTTGAGGCATTTTTTAACTTTTAACTTGTTTTCTTTTTACATTTTATAGTATTTTTATTGGTTGTTTGGTACAGATAGCCTAGTTACTTTGCACCAAACATTGCCAACCAACCTTTTAATCTTGATGGAAAATAAAGCACTGATCCTGTAAACATATTAGGAGAAAAGGCCCCTTGACAATACAACAGGTAGTCTAAGGATCTACTGTTAAGCAAAATTTTCAGTACTTCCTCAGGTAATATTCTGAACTTTGGTAAGAGATACATGTGAAATTGAAAGATGCCTTGGAAACATTACAGTTCTGACCTAACAGATGGCCAAGCAAGCTGACCACTTAAAAGCCAACCATTGTAAAGGTATGTGGCTTTTTCCCAAGCAGGGATTGTAAAGACAAAAGCATGGGAGTACAAAAAAAAAATAACTTGCTGAGTAATGATGAAGATGACAATAACATAACACTGATGTTACTGAGAAAATACTAAGATAATGACCACATCCCAGTTTGATGTAGAATGTTCTGGTACTCTAAAATTCTCAGTCAAAGACTCAACAAGAAAACCTAATCTTGTAAGAAGATACCTGGTACATCTGGTGGCAATGCAAAATCAGGGTATCATACATCAAAAAAGATGAAGAAATTAACTGCCAATAACCGAGTTGGTGGCTTCTGGTATAGTATAAATAACATCTTATATGACATTAATAAAAAAAAATATGTGATCTATTTATCAATGCACTGCTCTTGCTGGGAACAAAAGACAATCAATTCCAACTTCAATCTCATAAAGCAATTAGACATTCTTAAAAATTCCTCTCAAGGGATAGAGGACAACTGGGAGAGTTATCAAGATAATTAAAGGGAATGAAAAGGACAGTTCTTTAAAAAAAAAAAAGAGGTTCTAAAAAGATAAAAGATTAGATGAAAATAACTGTGATGATACTTAAACATAGTATAAGTTAAACATACCAACAAAAGAAAAACTATGAAGTTACTGGTCCAGTGTGCATGTGTATGTACACATATATATAAACAAATTTACCCTTTCCTCACATGACATATATATATTTTTTTTTATTTATGGGGATGGTATGCTATGCATCTTTCGCCATTCACATCTACTGAGCATGGACAGCAAACAATGGTACCTGTACTACTTGTAGCATTAAACAAATGCCTTTGTTTGACAATTTGTAGTAGAAATTGAATTGGTTGTGGAACTCAAAACATTTTCCTGATTGTTTATCCCTTTAAACTTAATCTTCTTTGGTGGTAGTTGGAAAGGGGTAGGGGAGGGACTTGATAACTTTCATCAATACAGCCAGTCCTCACATGAACCTCTGATATCAAGACAACAGAAGAAAAATTCTGCTGTATGTATATATGTGTGTGTAGTTTGTAATTTTGTGCTTTTCATAAATACAAAACCATACATTTAAACACCATTTATGCAGAATTACGAGAATAATATCAAAAAACAATTCTGTTTTAAGTAGCACTATCTGATTAACTACAATCCCTGCACACTAATTGTCATTCAACAATTAAAGATTTTTAATGCAAACAATTTCTGTAAAATTTTAACGTTTTTGTAATAAAAAGCATTTTTTGGTATTTATATTTGTTATACATATTAATTTTTGTCAGCTTATGCCAGACCAATACTAATAACCAAGAATGTTTTTTACTTACATTGAAATATTCCCAGTGTGTTTTTCTTCGTCCTGTCTTCGTTGTTCTTTCCTTAATTTTTTTATAAGTACCAATTAAGTTTGACCACTTTTTATTTAATACATCAGCAGAAACTGAATAACCTAATTTTTTAAAAGCACTGGCCATTTCCTTCCAGAAGCATCGTTTTCTGAGTGTTGCATGTTCGTCAAAAGTCTTCTTAAGCTTTCTGTACTCTTCAATTAACTCTAGAGTTGCTGTATGGGTCCAGATAAATTTCTCTAAAAGAGAAAGTTATAAATCAATAATTTTACCATACAGTTAAATAATATTTAATTATCAAAATGTGACTTCTATTACACAGTAACACTTGGTAAGGCCTATAAAACAAATAAGGAAAAAAAACTTTTGTAATAGATCATAATGTGGTGTAACTCATTTACCAGTCAAAAGCAGAAGTTAACATTTTCCATAACTGAAAAATGTATTTGTGATAGATACTGACCTCCTCACACAGTTTTGCATGCCACCAGCCTTTAATGTACTTCCACTTAATGACATCATTATGCAGCAAAAGATCACCACCAATAGGAAGAAGACACACCTACATGCACAAGTACTTCTCCTATGCATTTGCACTAAAAAATTAATTCTTTAACTAGGCAAAGAATACAAAAAAAACAGTGGAAATGTGTATATGTGTATTTACTGGAAGTTGTAATTTTCCTATACTGAAAATATATTTCCAATATGTACTTATCTCCTCTCACATAAATAGCTATTCTTGTTTAGTGCTGCTCTCTATATGGAGAAAAAAATGTTTCGCATGCCATATACCATACAATCAACTGATTCAAGTGTGTCTTGCATGCAAATCATCATGCAACAACTCTCCCAGAGTTTTGGCAAAAAATGAAAGCACCAGTTTTCAGTGAGGAGGAAGTTTGAGATGAGGTAAGTACCCTTTGGAAATATATTTTAAGTGTAGGAAAATTATAATTTTTGATATAGCACATCACCTCCTCTCATATAAATAGCTAGAATCCCACATTGAATAGGTGGAGGGACTGGTGCAAGGGAGAGAAGGACACTCTAAAAGAGTAGATCCTCCCAGTAGAGGATGATACGTGGGAGACCGCACTACTTCTGTACCATGTTTTCTCTTCGCCCAGTGTGGAAAGAGGTGTCACAGACATTGGTGGAAATTGGGAGGAGCACATCCAAAAGGGAGAAAACAATGATTGAATAAGATATTGTGTGGGGATAGCAAAGGGCTTCTCCAACTTGATAAGAAACCCCCCCCCCCCCCCCCAAAACGCAGCTTCTCGAAGAAATAAGTGGGTATGAGTGCCTGACTGGGCATGGAAAGAGGCAAGCAGTAGTCAGTCGTCCATGTAATGGGGAGTCCGACGACCCAGAGATGACATCCAAAAGAACATATCACTCGATAAAACACATAAGAAGCTGAAAAAAACTAAATGGCTGCACCCAGAACTGGAAGGCAGAATCCTTGTGGATGAACTAAAGAAAATAAAAGGATACTGGGGCAATTGGAATATGAAGATAAGCATCTATCACATCACAAAGTCCTGGGGAAAATACCCACAGAAGTGAAAGGTAGGACTCCATGGTGAAGTGAAGTGTCTCCAGATACGTACACAGCCGAGACAGATCTACGATGGGTCTCCAATCTCCCATGTTTTTGGAGACAACAAATAGACGGGAGTAATATACCAGTTAAGTAGGCACCACCCGTTCGTTAGCTCCTTTGTGCAGGAGGTCTTGAACATACTTGGCACTACAACTGGACAATGTATGATCCTGAGGAGGGAAAGAGATCTGGAAAGTGGATAGAGGGGGGGAGCAGAACTGAAGGCAGAAACCTTCAGATATAACCTGTAGAACCCACAGAAATGTCGTGAAGTGTAGCCAAAAAGGCACATAAACTAAACATAGTTAGAGAAAGTACACATTACTAATAAACTTATAAATTTGTAGTCTACAAAGTACATAAAAATAATGAATCTGCAAAACTATAAAATTCGACCTAAAATATAAAAGAATAAGCAACACCTAAAAAACCTATAAGACAAAGGACACGAAATTAAAACCTACCCTGAAGAACATGAGAATAAAAGGACACCCAGTTAACAACAACAAATTTTAACTCGAATCGAATCGCCACTTAGATGTGATTAGTTGTAACAAAAAGGAATTTACAAACTAAATAACAGAAATGGTGAAAAGAAGTAAAAATAATGAACCAACACACCCACAAAATTAGCAGAAGGTACAGTTACTCAAACAGTAATGATCATGCAAAACCAGAACATATACTGAAATTTAAACAAAAACAAAGTAATAATCAAACTCAAAATGCAAATTTAAACTAAGGTAACTTGGATGTTAAAGGAATTATAAAAATCTAATTTACCAAATACTGCGCAGGGTACACATGAAAGATCTAAATTATCGAATGCGGAAATTAAGTCCATCCACACATAAACTCGCTAAACATGGGTGTACCTAATAACAGTTAGGAATACACACTGAAAAACTTACCACAGATCTCCTGGGAAAAAGAACACTACCTACGCCAGCAGATCACATTGAGGTGAGGTAACAGGTGGAAAGTGCCATAGAAAGAAATTTTTATACTTGTAGTTATATCCTTCCTCACAAAAAATTGTAACATGAAAGGAAGAAATCATCAGCCGAACGTAAGACACAAACTCCCCGTGAACTAAAGCCTGTGCTTTTCATCATCGACCCTGAGACCTAGGGACTCTTGTCAGAACCATTGTCTACTAACGTGAGAATTTCATCATCCCCCCCCCATGTTAAATCTCAAATTCATAGGAACAAATTAGAATTCAGAAAACAGAAATATTTCTAAAACAAACGAGCAGAAACAATAGAAATCAAACACAAAATTGAAACTGATATAAATTTGTGATCAAGCACAATCATAAAGGTCATCACTGTGCATGAGGGTGTGTCCCACTCTTATTGGTGGAGGATTTTGCTGCATGAGTACATCACCATGCAATAGTGCAAATTCACATTTTCACGTGAGATTAGGTGGGAGATTTCACAAGGTTAGTGGCTTGCAAATCTTTTTGGCAGATCATGTGAACTTAAGAAGAAAATAAGATTGGCATGATTCTGTTATTTAAAACTTAATTATCAATTCTTTCATTTACAGATGTACTTTTGGGCGGAGTGAAAAATATTAGTAGAAAACACACAATGTTCCCATGATTATTAACAATATTACAAAGTAGATTATTCACCCAGTTTTAATTTTGTAAATCTTTCCGTTTTTTTTTAAATAGCTTTCCTAAAACCAGGGACATAAGACTGTTACTAACTCTGTATATATCAATATCAAATGTAACGGAGTTTTAGTTAGTATTCAAGTGGTTTTATAAAATCACATTTCTAAGAATCTTTTCCACAGTACCCAAAACATCAAAAAGGTATCTTAACCAGTGGGATTTTTAGATACAATGAGTGAGAAAAGAACACCTCACAATTTCAAAATTTTATTCAACCTTAGTGAAAAAGAGTGACTTACATATTAATTTTTGTAAAAAAGTTTATAACAGAATTACATTCAAAATATCTTTTTCTACAAGATTTCATGGTAAATGTTTAACCCTAAAATTACCAGTTGGGTCCAGATAACTCCCATTGACTCTTTAAAGATATTTTTCTAAACTATTTATGCACCAAATTGTTTGTGAGTTATGATAAATTTGAATTAAACTTTATCCCATTAAGGATTCTGTAACTTATCAAACCTACCTTCTTCATCAGAATCAATATTTGATGGCACTTCCAGAGAGTCTAGAGACTTCAATGGTGATACAGACAGAGAAGTAATTTCAACTAATTCTTTACAAGAAACAACAGAGGAATCTGTTTTGGCAGCCAAAGTTTCATATGCATTAAAAATTTCTTGAGCATAACTGGAATCTGAAAATGTTAATACTTTTTGTTATTAAATATACAACTATGTCTATCATGGTAACAGAACACCACTGTAGTATATCAATGCAAAATACATTACCATTTATAAATTATTCATGATCTTTTTTACACAGTATGTAAATACTTTTCTCTCTATAATTCAATCTATTTAGAAGTTGAAGAAAAACATCACACAAAGAATTGCAACACAACATATAGTTAAAATATATGCATATGTATAAGTAAAATATTACAGTAAAGAATATTCAAGTATACTAAAAAAAAAACAGTATACTGAATTATATTTTACAAGTTACAATTAAGATAATGACTTTATATACTTTTCAGCAATAACTGTGGGTGCTGTTAATAGGCACAATTTATCAAATTTTTAAGATTAGGATTTATAACATTCCAAACTTATAACACTAGCACTAGTTAGTACACGTGTATCCTTATATAATAGATGATAAAGAATAATGTTTCCAGTGTCATTAAAACAAATACAAGTTTGAATATTGTTGGTTTCAACAACATAGTTTATTATACATTGAATGAAAGCGCTAACAAGAGTAAATTGAGTACTATCAATGTGAAATGTTTAATATTAAATATGCTTTTTTTTTAAGTAATAGCCAAATGTATTTATGTTAGGAATGAAGAACTATGAAAAACTTTTAAATATATTGAACTTTTCAAAGAGAACCTTGATAACTATCTTCACAAGCACAGCAAGATTCAGTTACATTTAATATCTAATCGGAAACATGAACTTAATGTAACTAATAAGTAAAATGAAATTCCAATACTGGTCACATTAACAAAGGCTATAACATGGACTTATAGATTAAGTTGTAATTTCAATGCTTCACCTCATTTCAAGAAATACTGACTCGTTTATGAAAATGTACATTATGTTGTAAAATTCCAATACAAACAGATATTTACTTTAGCAAAGGAAAATCACTTTGAAACAATTCCATATAAAACTGGGCCTCATATCGTACCACTTTACAGAAAAACTACAAGTCAATAAGAACAACATATTCTTTGTAAGTGATGTACATAGGTCCAGACATTATTACAAGTATTTCTAACATTCAACAGAATGGCTGAAACCTCTAGAACTAATAGTAGATGTAATTAAAGACACCAGTTTTAGTCAACAACATTGTATAAAATTTCAATAAGAATACAAAAGTATAGATAAACATTTAAGGAAATTTTAAGATTTAGGATAAAACAATCAAAAATTATCTTTGTCATATTATCCTTGTCAAAAATATCCTGAAATAAAACTACGGACAGGATATGAGCCTGCAACCTAAGTATTTATAACAGGAACAATTCAGTATTACCTCTGGCATGTACCCTTATATGTAATTAGAAAAATGTACTCTGCACCAAGCAATTTCATTCATACAAAATAAAATTTCACATTAATTCTCTTCTATTAAATAAATTCCTAACTAAAATATATATTCTGCTCTGATGTACACAGCACATAAATAAAACTTGTACAATGCACGATTTAATACCAATTAGATACAATTGATTTACAAGTAATCTTCACAGACATAGCATGACAGCATAGAAGGTTGTTAATCATGGTTCAAAATCCTGGAAGTTAGAGATGCACTCTTAGAGTGAATGTTTTTTTCCCAAGGTTTCAGAAAGAAGCACACTCATAGTAGTTATGGCTATAAACTCTTCTTACTAGTATTTAATACATTTTCATCTAGAGAGAAAAAGACATAACACATGCTGCAGTTCTACAGTTAGAAAAACAAATTTCCATACAGAAGAGTACGAAATGAGCAAAAATGGGTGATGCAGTTTAATCACTGTAATGTTTGTTATGATGTAGAAACACTATGTGAATTTGCAGTTGTTACATTTAATAAACTTTGTTTTTCTACAGGAAGCCACAAAAGGTTATTCTATACCATCAATATCACTACAGAGGAAATGGGGAACTGGCTTACTATGAATCTATATTTCTCTTCTTTTTAGCTGATGAATTGTAAAGGCTAAAAAAAGTGTAAAAGTGGAATATACAATGTCCAAGAAAGTTATCTGTTAGAATTTTGAATAAAGAGCAAGATGGAACACAATAAAACTTTTAATCTTAGTTGTACAAAAGTGAAAATTTCATATTTATTTTGTCCCATATTAAAGTACTGCACTAATATATATTTTATGGACATAAAGAATGTAAAACATTCCTTCAAGAAGTGAAGAAACAAAAGTGGCCTACTGAACCTCAAGTACATTTACATTAGGTTTTTAACTAAATATTCAGTTAATCCTTAAAACTGTAGGTTTTTATTGAATTGCCTTAAATAAATGTTTCTCCAAATTTATCAAACTGTAAATAATACTTCTTCATTTAAACTTACTTTATTGTTTCCTTTAAGATTTGGGCTAATTTCATAAAGCTACTTTCTATGTTACTTATTTAAACTACTGCAACAATGTAGGCTTCACAATACTAAATAAGGATCTAAGCCCTCATTTCACATTTCATTCTCCCTAACCCAATAATTGTGTTAACCTGACTATTTATTTACGATGGTAGCTTTTTTAAGTCATAAGTTTATTTCCTCTAGGTATAAACTGTTTCTGATTTGATGTGTATATGTTTTTACCAGAAGAACTCTTCTTCAAGAGTTATACTATAGATTGGTGGTCAAAATATCTGAGATTGCAAGTATGTGTACTTTACTAAATCAATAAATTAATAGTATCCATAATAGCATTAGTTATTAAAAGTAGGAATGCCTACACACATAAACTATTTTTATAAAACACAATTAGGTTTGTAAAGCTCAATTTTCACGGATGAAAATGTGTAAACCAAAACATTTAACATAAATTTATGTTTACATGAAAGGCATTACCAGTAGTACATGGTTTGGGGGTTTATGACACAAACCAACAAAAGCCAACTTTGTTAAACAAAATAAATAAAACAAGTTATATATACGATATCTAGATCATTAACATTAGTACTAACAATTGTTTAGTAAAACATTTTGGAAACACAATTATTAAGAATAATTAGCTAATAGAACTGAATATTTAAGACACTCACTTGTAAGTTGTATTACTATTATTATTAAGATTAACATACTGAATATGTAACAGTGAATAAATAGCTTAGGTTGTTACTTATTTAATTACTGAACTTACAGTACACAACTGCAAGTTTGAGATATTACAATTACATTAAAAATTTGAGTTTAAAATATGATATTAGTTTTAATCTTAAGTATTTTTTAAAGTATAAAACTATTTGTTTGTCTTATTGTTACACCATTCTTAATTTTTCATTCTCTATTACTATTAGTATTACTATATGAAATTCAAGTATCTCCAAACCCAATATCACTATCAGGAATAATATAGAGCATAAGTTTCTATTTCATTTTTATATTAGCATGAAGTTAAGACTCAAAAGTTTAAGAACTTCTAAATTCTCGTTACACGTTAGCTACTCGAGTCGCATACGGGTAATAATACTAATAATTAATAATATACTTGCCCTGATTAATATTAATAATAATAATATAGTAATAGTAAGGGATAATGCTCATTGCAAGCCATATAAATTATAAGTCTTTGTTACAATGGCATCAACTCACTTTTTATTGTCATGTAGGTCGCAATAGAAATAGCGAGAAACAGTCAAAATTAATTACCATTAAGGATTTTTTCATGAACTTCTGGGGTGACTTGAACAACTATTTCACGTTCATCCTCTTCCGAGGCCGCCATGACAGACCCAGCATCGGCTCGGTCGTTCGGTAGAAGTATCTTCAAATATGAAGAACTCGAAATTAAAAACTATTTCGAAGGCTATAGAAGTACTGAATAGATAGACTTCGTGATCTTTTTTTTTTATTATTCAGAACAAACGACACCTAATCGTATTTGTTTCAGGTGATATTATTTACTTAGATTATAAAATAATTGAGGACTTGTTGACTTTTTTTCTTTTAGTGATATTATTTACTTAAATTATAAAATAATTGAGGACTTGTTGACTTTTTTCTTTTACTTTTTTGGGGGGGAAACATTTTATTTTAGATGTCTCAGTCACACACTTTTATCCTACCGGTGGGTCAGCGGTAAGTTTACGGACTTATAACGCTAAAATCACGTTTTTCATCCCCCACGGTGGATACAGCAGTTAACCAAATATGGATTTGCGCTTACTAAACCAAACATTTTGTACCTCATTGGCAAGTCTGAAGGCTTATAACGCTAAAACCCGGTTTTCGATACCCCTAGCTGTACACGTAGTCCAATATGAAGATTTGCGCTTAACAACAAATAAACAAACACATACCTCTATCCAGACTGTAGATTTCCCCTTTCTACGTTGTACAAAAAAATGTGATTAGTAATATCCTATAAATCTGGAATAAATAGCTAAGATTAGATATTTATTCCTTACACAGATGGTCCAGCATGGCCAAGTACTTAGGGCGCTTGACCCTCAATCTGAGGGTCGTGGGTTCGAATCCCCGTCTCACCAAACATGCTCGCCCTTTCAACCATGGGGGCATTATAATGTGGCTGTTAATCTCCCTATTCGTTGGTAAAAGAAAAGCCCAAGAGTTTGCGGTAGATGGTGATGACTACCTGCATTCCTTCTAGTATTTCACTGCTAAATTAGGGACGGCTGGCACCGATAGCCCTCATGTAGCTTTGTGTGAAATTCAAACCTTATAAAACAAATACTAGGGTCTTTATATTGTTAACTGGCTGGCTTCCGTATATATGATTTTTTTTTTTTTTTTTGTTTCGTATGGTGTTTCTCACACCTCCAAATTCTGTTGGAGGTGAGTATCCGGAAGTAGGACTGGCGTCCTTGTTCGGACACCGGGTGAGCATGTTTCGGTGTGACGGGGATTCGAATCCGCGACCCTCAGATTGCGAGTCGAACGCCCTAACCACCTGGTCATATCTAAATTAACTTCTCTCGTTGGTGAAGCCAGAAATACTTCTTCATTCGGCGAGACCAATGGCGTTTTCTTAGGCTGGGCCTAGCCGACTATTTGCACGGCAGTGTCTGAGCAAGCGATAATAAATGTTCAGTTTATTTGAAGATCTGAAGCGAAAATGTTTAGTTCTCTCAGAAAGAGGGATGTGAAATGTGAACAAACAATCCATACATAATTAAGAATATCATTTAATATGTTATATTAAATGTACCCTGTGCAGAACGAGTAATCTGGGTACTTAAATGTTTATAAAATACTGTTGTTTTAATGTAATTACATATGATGCAATGCTAGATTATACATATATTTGTGTGCATATATGCATGTGGTCTAGAAAGCTGTAAAGTTGATTACATTCTAGCTGTCTTTATTTCATTATTCACAAGTAGATAATAGAAAATACCTGTTCTCTCTGGGAAAGAGGTTGTTCCTATATTGAAAATTGTATAAGATTGTTGACAGCAGTGTCCTTAAATGGTCGTTCAGGTGATATCTATAGGTTACACTCTCACCTATGTTGTAATGACCAGTAACGTTGTTAGCACTAGTCATCTAGGTAAGTACTTCATTTCTTACACACTAAAGAAAGTTGGATTTGGTCAGGATGGAACAGATCTTTAAAAGGTTTAATACAAGATTTTGAATAGTAAGCAGTTCGAAGGAAGAGTCAGTAATTGCAACAGTCCATCATTCAATAAAAGCAAGTACATGCACTGTGTTTTACGTCTGTTATAATAAAGATTGCTCATTTTATATTTCATTTTGTATCCAGTCTCGTTATTTCATTCAATACCACAGACTCAGTTATTCAGAGATTTATTATCACTTCATAAGCACTATATTGATGAAAATTCCTGTCATTGGAAGGACCTATCCCCTTGTTCTAAGGTTAACTCAGTTTTACCTAAATATACCACATTTATATAACAATTCCAAGTGAAAACAAAAACCCAATGTGGTACCTAAATAATCCTAGATTACCTGCATTGCTGATAATCTCATTTACGTGCATTGTTCAACTTTTGGTTTACTTGTTCGTTTTTAACCCTTTTTTATTGTACTTTACTTTTGCCTTTCTTACTGTTATTTCTATTATCATTATTTTCTGGCTTAATACCTGTATTTTGGCGCAGATAGCCTCGTAGCTTTGCGCCAATAAACTCCAAACAACCAATCTGCATCACTAAACCTTCTCATTATATAAAAAGGAGAATAAGTCCAGCTCATACTTATATGTACAATCTGTACCACCAATCCGCTAATAACCTAGCGGGAAGGAGACAAGGTCATGTGAATGCTAGACTATCTTTTTAAACCTATGAAGAAATCGACATTATGACATTTAAGCAAAAAAAAAAAAAAAAAAAAAAACCTTTAAATTATAGGTATTTATAGCTACATGAGAGCTATCTGCACTAGCCATCCCTAATTTAGCAGTGCAAGACTAGAGGGAAGGCAGCTAGTCATTACCACCCACCACCAACTCTTGGGCTACTCTTCTACCAACAAATAGTGGGATTGAACATCACATTATAACGCCCCCATGGCTGAAAGGGGAGAGCATGTTTGGTGGGACAAAGATTCGAACTCACGACCCGCAGATTGCGAGTCGAGCGACTTACCACCTGGCCTTTGCAGATTTGAATCTCCATCCCACCAAACAGGCTTGCACTTTCAGCTGTGGGGATGTTATAACGTGACTGTCAATCCCAATATTCGTTGGTAAAAGAGTAGCCCAAGAGTTTGCAGAGTGTCTTTCACTTCTAAATTAGAGATAACCCTTGTGCAAAATTCAAAAACAGAGTTAATAAGAAGGCAAAAGCTGTTTTTTCATATACTCTTTTATTTACAATGCACAGATAAAGAAATACGTAACAATATCATTATTAAGAAAATGAAAACATTAAACAAAATTATCCAACTTAAAGATTTCAATGGAATGCACTAAACATATGATGAAAATATCATGTACAGTGCATGCCCTTTTACACATACAATATTACATACATTAGGCTTGTTTTTTTAAAATAATTTTTTTTTCTCTCAAAATTTTAGCATCAAATTTTCTCAAGAGAATATAAATACAATGAAAGTTTGACTTAATACAGGGTCTTTAGACTAAAATATACAGAAGCATTTTTCAGGTACCAATAATAACAAAAGGATCACATGATAATAATGGATGTTAAATGCCAGATACCGTTAATATAGCTCGGTTATGTACTTTTAAACAAGCCTAGCATATACAAAAGTAATATATTTATACCATCCTATACATCAAGCTCATACATGTATTGCTGTCCCTGTAATGAATTTGTTAAACAATTCTCTATATTATAGTATATTTTAAAAAATTACATAAAGATTATAATGGTAATTATGAAAAATTTCTATATTCAGCAGCTAAATAAAATCCTATTCCATTCAGGTTTAAATAATGTTTCCGTAAGTTCTTTTTTAAACTTTAGTAGCAAATATAAAGCAATAAATAATGCTTGCTGTTCATGGCAATGTCATTTAGTACATTTTTAACATTCATACTTGAAGTTTTTTAACTTTACAATCTTAATTTACATTTGCATAAGAGTGAAACATTGCGTTTTTTATTTTTATTTAACTGCACTTCAAACAACACATAAGACAGACAAATTTCAGGATCTATTTGGTTCTTATTCTTTAAATCTATTGGTGCAATTCTACCAAAGTGACTGAATAATGAACTTAATTTCAATGACCTGATTCTTCAACAGTTGCCACATGTAATGGTCAGTGACCCCAAAACATTACATAAGCTTAAAGATGCCTCAGTTGAACAATAATTTCTTCACGCCTGTGCCTGTCCCATTAGTTGTACAATGTGTTCTACATTACACCTCTTAATGCATAGAATAAAGAAGTAAAACACACACACACACATATATATATATATATATATATATATATATATATTAGTTTAGTTTGTTAGTAGTACTATAGTTTTAGTTATTAACTAAATATAACAAACTAAAACTAACTACCACAACTAATTAATTTAACTAGTACTATA